CCTAGTGAGACCCTGTACCAAATAAAATGAAAGGGGAAAAAAAAACAAAGAATCACGGGGGGCCAGTGAGCTAGCTCAGCAGTCTAAAGTGCCTGCTTAGGCAAGCTTAGGCGAGTGCAGGGACCACAGCTTGATCCCCGGCACCAGCCCCACCCCCAGGGCAGGCTGAGCCAGGAGCTCCCTCCCCCAAATCAGTCACCAACTCCAGAAGCCAAGCCTCCCTATGACAGCGTGAGCCTCTGGGGGGGGACACCTATACACAAACCATAATAATAGAGATTAGAAAAGGACTAAGATTATTTGTCAAACTTGTGGGTTTTGAACTATATGACTGCAGTAGAATCCTCCTGATTTCCATAATAATTGTTACTGGTAGTAATAGCTATTAACTTTTTGTTGCAAGTTTTCCTCTTTAAATGTTGTATTCTTTTGAATTTTATTTTAAAATGTTTCATTATGGGGAACATCAAACATAAAAGTAAAGCAAATACCCTACTGACACTTGTGTACCAGTCACTCAGCCTCGGTAACTGTTGGCTACGAGCTGTCCTGTTTTCTCTCCACTTCCCTTCACCACCCCTGCTTCACACTGGTGTTTGGTGGGTTTTTCTTTTTTTTTTTTCTTGTTTTTCTTTTTGATGCTGGCATTGGACTCAGCCTTACACATCTCTGTCACTGAGCCACAGCTCTAGTGCTTTTGGATTATCTTGACATAAACCTAAGCATCATATATTTTAATGTTTCTCCAAGGTGATTTTTTTTTGAGATGGGATTTCTTGCTATTTTGTCCAGGCTGACCTCAAACTTCTGAGCTCAAGATCTCCCAAGTAGCTAGAACTACAATATAGGTTTGTGCATGGAGCAGATTTTTAAAGTGTAACCCCAGTACAATTATTATACCAAAAGAATAAAGTATGTTGATATTGCATAGTACCTATTTTTGATTGTATGATATATTTACATGGTTCAGAAAAATCTACAGAATCAGACATTCATTGACGGTTCCCTTCCGTTCTTGCTCCCAGAGGCCCATTTCCTTTGTTCCCCTGAGAGGTGTCTGGGCTCTTCTTGCAGCTGTTTCCTGTGGCAACCACTGCTGTGTTGGCTTCTTTTCTATTCTTTAATTTAATGCATATATAAGCAAATAAGTTCAGGCACTGGCTTTATTTTATTTTTAGGGGTTTTTGTCCCACCGCACCTTTATTGTGGACCATTCACAGTTTAGAGTTTCGTAGGCTTTCCAGAAGCACACAGCCCACTGAAAGTTTCCTCCCTGACATCCCCATGACTGCTAACCAGCCTCGTCTTGTCTCTTGTCCTCATTTGTATGACATTCTGCCAGTGTTCCAGGAATCCCCAGGGTTGGCTTCCGACAGGGGCAGGGGTGCAGTGGTGACCCTCCCCCCCAAAAAAACCATGATCAGCTTTATGTCCAGTCTGACCCCTTCCCCTGCCCTCACCCCCACCCAGCCCCATCTCTTCCTTCCCAGCAGCATGCAGGCCCACACTGGTCAGGGTTGGAGTCCCAACTCCACTTGGAGCCATGTGACCTTGGGAAATTTATTGACCTCTCTGAATCCTCCTTTCTTCAGTGAGAATGTGGGGAGAAGACTGGGTCTGTGGGGCCGGCCAGAGAGTTTAGTGGATTAAAGCACCTGCTTAGGCAGGCAGATGCAGGGACCAGGGGTGCCTGCCCTGCCCCTGGGACACACTGAGATGGGGATTGAGACTGGGTGTGGTGGCACACTCCTGTAATCTCAGTGCTTGGGAGGCTGAAATCAGGAGAATCACTACAAGTCTGATCTATATAGTGAGACCCTGTAGACCCTGTAGTAAAATACAAAAAAAAAGACTAGGTCTGTCAGGGCCCTTTTGAGGATTTGTGATTTGTATATAAAATACCTGCCACATGGTATGCCCTAAATATACCTGAACTTTCTTTTTCTGGGGCAAGAAAAGATACCTGATGAAGCAATGTCAGAGCCAGTTGTTTTATAAAAGTCCCTTGTCCCTTAGCACAACTGAAGAGGTAGCTATCTTAACGGTGGACTTTCAAGAGGAAAGGACAACCCCAGAGGCAGAGACCTCCCCAGAGTCTGGTGGATGCAAACCTGCAGATGCTGCTTGAGCGTCCATGGGCACGCAGGATGCTGACCTCTGTTTAAGGCCACTTTGGGCAGGCAAGGGCAGATCCAGGGGGCCAGGAGAACAAGGAAAATCTGTATTTAACTGCCCCTGCCAAGGAGAAAGCAGCTTTGTGTGGGGCGAAACCCAGAGCTAAAGGGTCATCAGCAAATCCCCTTCCAGTGCCTTGACATGTCACCTGTCATAGGGGATCCTCACAGCCTGAAATACTAGAAGCCTTGTGTCATTCACACTCCACTGGTGTACAAAGGTGTCCCCAGACCTCTCACTAAGGCAGGAATTCTGCACCTGAAGCTGTGTCCCCTCCCCATCTTCCCATCCCTCATGGTCATTGAAATCAAAATCTGATACATGAATGGCTATGAGAAGAAATAACAGTGCTCCCAGTAATACACTGAGTGTTCATCCAGTGGTTGATCTGTAGACACTATCACTCCTTTTTTCCTTAACTGTCATTCTTCGAAATTTTTTTAAAGCTTAAGTATCACAAAGCCCTTGTTCATACATAGCTCTCAGTAAAAATGGAGCACCTCGAGGGTTGTTTTATATCTCCAGTATCACAGCAGAAGGCCACTCCGCAATCTTAGGATGTGTATCAACCAAGACCACGGCTGGTGTTCTAGAAAAGCACCCTCCAAACAGAGAGGGAACACAGGAGTGCAGAGATGAAAGATTCAGGTGAGACAGGACTATAATGCTACAGGAAAGAACTTCTTCAGTTGAGGAGAGGGGGCAAAGTGGTTAAAACCAAAGGAAGCACTGTGGATCCGGAAATGCCTGTCCAAATATAGACAGCTGTGTCAAGCCAGTAAAAAAAGAAAAATAAGTTGTCTTCCTAGCATCAGATGGGCATTCTGGCTGGGTGTGGCATCGCACACCTGTAATGCCAGCACTTGGGAGACTGAGGCAGGAGGATCATTGTGAGTGCAAGGTCAGTGTAGGCTACCTAGTGAGTTCAAGGCCAGCTTGAACTACATATGGAGACCTGTCTTAGAAAGACAACGACACAAAAGATACTAGTGGGTGGATCCCTGTCCAAGGATGCCCCTGTGGTTTTCCACAAAGCAGCTTGTCTAGCAAAAACCCAGCTGACCTGCGCCCATCAGGTCATCTCGAGCTTAAGGTGTCGTCTGCAACCTGGGATGATGAGTTTCTGCTCCCATCCACTCAGTGCTGTTGTCAAGGGCTGTGCTTCCAAGTGATCTTAGGGCCTTCTGCCCGAATCACTGAGTTCTTCAAGGTGTGAAGGAGTTTTGTTGATGATTGTGCCTTTGTGTCTACTGCTTGCAGCAGGGTTGGTTTGTTCCATAACTTTTTAAGTAGTTGGAAGGTGCACTGACAGAGCAGTCTGTAGGTCGAGACTCCCGTTGCTCCCTGTGTCTGAGGGTGCGTAGACTCCAAGGGCACCCTAGGCCTTTCGCAAACAGTCTCTGCAGACGAAGATGGTAACCATCTTTTCTCCAGCACACAGAGCCCCATTTTCATTGCCTCATCTTCCCAGGGTGGGGTGGGACTCTGTCTTCCCCGCTCCCACACCAGGTGGTCCCGAAGTCCCCAGCATTGTCAGGACACCATCCTCTTCATTCTCTTTTTCTTGGCCTCATATCTGCATCATTTCTCCATGTGATGAGAAGAGCAGCCATGATGGAAGCATCCAGAGGCGGGCAAGGGGCGCAGGCACGCAGTGGAGCTACCTCCAGGCTGGCCAGGGCGCCGGAGCCTGAGGAAGGTGAGGAGGAGGAGGTGGCTCCCACCTGTCTCTCCCAGTCGCCCTGGCCCACTGCCTGCTGGGTACTGGACCTTGCCAGGCCGAGCTTGCTGCTTCTGTCCCCATAGTCCCTGGGAAGGGGTGTGTGCAGCCCACCCGTCTCCAGGTGACCCCAACCACAGGGCAGAAGGACCTGGTGGCAGCACGGAGAGGAGAAAAGGAGCCTAAGGGGGAGATTAGCTGATGGCACCAGGACCCGAGCCCCACCTCCCAGCCACCAAAACTTACTTTGTTCTCTTATGTTGATCAGAATTTCCGTCTTCCTCTTGATGAGTGAAGTGGGATTGGTGGAAACAGGGTTGAATAATTCAGTTTGGTTTTGTTTTTGGTGGTGGTGCTGGGGATTGAACCTAGGCCTCATGGCTGTTAGGCTTTACTTCAGTTTCTGTCACTTTAAAGTGTCTCATCCCTGCTAGTGCATGTTTGTTACAGGAAAATCAGAAACTACAGGTAGGTAGGTTTAAAGGAATATTTCTACCCTCTCCTACTCAGGAATATCCATAATAAATACTTGGGTGTATAGCTTTGTTTAGGTTTTGTTTTTGTTTTTATTTTTATTTTTGTCTTTTTACTTTGGTGTACACTTTTATAGTAGCAGATGTTTAAATTTTTGAAGAAAATGAGCTTAAACTAATGTTTAATAATTTTCGTTCTCTAAGAAGTAAATCGAAACTGCTTTTTGAGTCCCTGTAACAGCATGTGGCATCATTCTCACAGTCTGCTGTGTTCTGTCTGCTAGTGGTGAGCAATTAGTTATGCCCACCTGTGTACTGTTGTAAAAACCATAGAAGGAATAGCTGTGTATGACAAATTACCAGAAATGGACCTGTTGACTTAGACAAGCTTAAGACATAGAAGTTGCCCCAATTTCTATTCTCCCCAGTAAATCGTCAGTTTCCTGCACTTTGGGAAACAGCTCGTTTCTTTATTGCTCTTTTACTTCGGCTTCATTTCCTTTTCAAAAAGCAGCACTAACTAGCTGCTGTCACAGTAAGAATCATTCCTGTCACATAATTTGTTGAAGGCTTTGGAACTCTTTTTACCAGGCTCAGTTTTGAAGTGTTCCTCTCTTGTTTTCTCCCTGCAGCGGCCCTTCTCAGCATCCCCGGCTTTGTGGAACGGCTTTGCAAGCTGGCGACTCGGAAGGTGTCAGAGTCAGCGGGCACAGCCAGCTTCCTGCAGGAGCTAGAGGAGTGGTACACGTGGTTAGACAATGCTCTGGTTCTCGACGCCCTGATGCGAGTGGCAAATGAGGAGTCTGAGCACAATCAAGGTACTTTCGGGGGGGGGGGGTCCTCTTTGGGGCCTCTGGAGACATTCTTAACCTCCTTTCCAAGAAGGATTGATTAATTTGAGGTTTTTCTCAAAGTAGAATTTTCTTTAATCTGGTCCTAAACTATGACCCTTCAGACTTAGTAACGTTACAGAAACCTTGCTGCACTCCTCTGAGCTGCTGAGTGCAGGGAGGACTTTGTTGCGGAGCCAGAGGCGTCTATGTCCCTGAGACTGACTGGAACCAGTAAGCATTCTTAGGAGCCCAGAAAATTTGTTTTCTCAGTTTCTGCATGTTTCTTTTGTGTGCTCTCTCTCTCTTTCATGAGTTTGATCTCTCTCTCTCTCTCTCTCTCTCTCTCTCTCTCTCTCTCTCTCTCTCTCTCTGCACTGCTTTTTTCTGGTCCCCTCTGTGGGACTAGGCAGCCTAATGAGTTAGTAGACTCCTAAGCCTTGGCCTCAGCTTCCCAGTAACAGGCTCTAGCTGGTAGGATGCAGTCAGATCGTACAAGCCTAGGTGCAATTGGCTTTCATACAAGAAATATGGTATTGTGATGAGCTGTAAAAGGCTCAAGTCAATAACTTCTGAGGCTAACCCACTAATATTATAGACTGCTAGACAGTGTTAGATTGTTTAGTTGAATTCAAACACCTATAGTATTTAGATGCCAATAGATTATTCACCTCTGACAGGACAAAAAAATAAACGGATACAAAGGAAAGATCATTTTGTATTTATATATACAAAATAGGATAAATTTACAGCTACTTTCGCTTAATTCAATGAGAAGAAAGAGGTGTACTAACAGTGTTTGGACAGAATATCCTGTCTGCTTCATGTACTATGGATAACCACTAAGAAGATAACAATGTACAGTGTATTGACTATCAAAACTGTCCTATTAATCAGCTATGAAACTGTCTCATTCATATTTATTTCTCAATAATAAATAAATAAATAAAAGAAATATGGTATTGGCTGGGGCATAGGTGCCTGCCTGGCAAGCATAAGGTCATGAGTTTGATCCCTGGTACCCAAAAAACAAAAAAAAAGAAAGAAAAGAAAAGAAACATGGTATCTCACCAAGAAAGACAAGCTAGCTTTTTTCATCTCTGCCAACTCTTAAGTTGAAGAGCCTGAGATCTTGGTGAGTATGGCTTCTTTCCTCAACCCAGCTCTGTACCACATGCCTAGTGTAGGAGTGCCAACCCAGATGCTTTCGGCTATATAATGGCTTTAACTCACTTTTATGCTGAGAAAACTAAAGGCTACTGACCCTGGTCAGAGTGGTGGCTCAGAAGTTTGACCTAGAGGGACAGGCACTTGGTAAGAATAGGATCCAAGAAAGTTCATACCAAAATGTATTTTCAAAAACACTGGAGATTTTGATGGTAAGCAAGGAAAAAGGGCAGTAGATTATCTTAGCAAACTAAACACTAGCCAGCTGGTTCATGAAAGAACAAGGGAAAGAGACAACAAAGAAGAGCTCTGCTAAAGTCAGGAAAAAACATCCCCAAAAACAACTCTACACAAATTTATGATCAGACTTTGGAGCGGTGCATGCCCCAGGGCATTATCAAAAGCGCAGAGTGGAGCCTAGTGTCTCAGTGTGGTACCAGAAGAGGCACAGCGCTTACCAGGGATAGGGACAGAGCTGGTCGTCCTGCTAAACATCATCCAGAGGAAATGGTAAGAATAGGATCCAAGAAAGTTCATAAGTGCCTAAGTGCACGTGCCTAAGATGCTCATTAAAGGTTTCCCAAGTCTACTGGAGAAATAGACATTATTAAAGTAGGCCACGTCACTAAATAAATAAGTAAACAACAAGCCCTAAAGAGGAGAAAGAGAACAAATGCTCATAGCTATCTTAAATGTCTAGTTTTTTGCTGTTGTTGTTTGAGATAGGGTTGCACTGTGTAGTTCAGGATGGCCCTGAACTTATTACGGAGTCCAGGCCAGCCTTGAACTCACAGCAATCCTCCTGCCTCATCCTTCTGAGTGCTGGGATTACAGGCATGCACTACTGTGCCCAGCCTACATGTCTAGTTTTTAACAAAAATTATGAAACTCAAAGAAACAGATTTGACTCTTAAATAAGAAAAGGTAAGCAACTGAGATTACCTGTGAGAGGTCTTAGATGCAAAGTTTAACAGTGACTTCAAGGCAGCCATTGAAGTCTGTATGGCTATTATAAATACTGTATGGTTGGCTAACACAGTAAACTATGTTTTGATGATATTGTCTCATTAAATAGAAAACAACAACTAACAAATAGAAAACTTAAAAAAGTGCTAAAGGAAAGCTCTGGAGTTAAAAGAGTATAATAATAAAAACTTAAAATTTGGGCCAGCCAGATAGCTCAGTGGACTAAAACACCTGCTTAGGCAAGCACAGGGACTGGGGTTCAATCCCTGGCACCACCTGCCATGCCACCCCCGCCCCCAGGGCACGCCTGTAATCCCAGCATTTGGGAGACTGAAAACAGGAGGATCACTACCAAGTCTGATCTGTATAGTGAGACCCTGTAGACTCTGAAATAAATAAATAAATAAATAAATAAATAAATAAATAAATTCACTGGAAAGACTCAGAAGTAGATTTAAACTAGCAGGAGAAAAATAACATTTAAAGAATAAATCAATAGGGATTGAGATATCTGATAGAGGATTTAAACAATAAATATGAACAGAACTTCAGAATAAAGCAGTATGAAGCATACCAAAATATGTACAATAATGTAGAAGAGGAGATAAGAGAACGAAAGAGGGTGTATCAGTGTTTTACTAGAGAAACAGAAATGACACAAGCTGTACAAATGTATGCGAAATTACACAATTAGCTCTCAATGGTCAGCCACAGAGCTGCGCTTGGTCTTAGCCGGAAGCCACAGAGCTAGATGAGGAAGCACGCAGGGGGCGTTTGCAGGCCGGAGACGAAAGGATTCAGTCCAGGGTCTGGAATTCTCTGCCGTGTCTGCACGTCCTTGTCAAGGCTGAGGAGTCTGTGCTGGAAGCCAGGAGATAATGTCCAAGCTGAAGCTGGAGACGAGCTCCTCCGAACAACAGAATCAAGGCTCTTTTTCCTCATTCCCCCTTGATACCACCCAGGTGATGAGCAGCCCTGGGGCTCCTCTGCACCCTAAGGTGTAGAATTGCTCAGCCAACTTAGCTAAGCTTCTAAACTTCTCAAGTTGACACAATCTAATCTAACAGTTTTAAATAATGACTGAAAATGTCATGGATTTAATAAAAAATATTAATGGATACATCTGAGAAATTCGGAGAGCTCTAAGTGGGATAAGCACAATGATATCTGTACCTAGATGTGTCATGATAAAAACATTAACCCGTTTCTAAGGGCATTCCAGTAGGCTTAACAGCTGTCCATTCATGAGGAACAGTGGAGGCTGGAGACGGGAGGGTGATGGGTGCAAAGCACTGTAAAGAAATACAGCTGGGTGCAGTGGTGTGCAACCGTACGCCTCACACTCCGGAGGCTGAGGCAGTAGGATCATGTAAGTTTAGGAGTTTGAGACCAGACTGAGCAACATAGCAAGACCCTCAACTCAGAAACAAAAATGAAATAAAAGACTGTCAGCCAAGAATCTTATGTGCAAAACTTAAAGCTGCAGCTGAGCCTGGTACCACATGCCTGTAATCCCAGCACTTGGGAGGCTGAGGCAGGGAAGATCACAAGTTCAATTCCCACCTGAGCAGTTTAGCAAGACCCTGTATCAAAAATAAAAAAAGAAAAGAAAAAGCTAGAGCTTTAGCTTAGCGGTAGAGTGCCCTCAGATTCAATCCCTAGTAGTGCAAAAGGAAAAAAAAAGTGAAATAAAGATAATTTTAGGAGAATTTAGTAGGCAAATATGTGAGATAAGTAGTGCCACTGAGAAACAGCATGGGAAGTTCTTCATACTGAAAGAGAGGTGCCAGGCCTGGTTGTTGTCTCAGTTACTCTTCCCTCATTGCTGGGACAAAATACCCGACACCCAAAATGAAGGAAGGAGAGGTTTATTTATTTAGCTCACAGTTACTGGAGGTTTCAGTTCATACTCAGCTGGCTCCAAGGCAGTCTGGCACATGGCAGAGGGCAATCTTGCATGGCGGCAGCAAAGAGCAAGAGCAAAATGGAGGAGTAGCGGCAACAGAGAAGAAGTCTGTCTCTCTTACGTTACATTCAGGCTGTCCGCTCCAGGCTGGATATAGCACACCCATAATCCCAGCAGTACTCAGATCCATAATCTCAGCCTTGGATCACCCATAATCCCAGTGAATCATGAGTTAATCTCAAACTATAGTCCCCACCCCATGACTGCATGAGGCTTTGGGGGGATAACTAGACATAAACCATTAACAGTTGTGTACACCTGTAATCCCAGTGTACTCAGGAGATTGAGGCAGGAGGATTGCTGTGAATTCAAGGCCAGCCTGAACTCCATAGTGAGACCCAGTCTCTAACAACAACAACAACAACAGCAAAAAGATAAAGCAAGTGGCTTCACATAGTAACTTGAATATACACGCAGCGGCAGTAAAATGCATTGTATGAAAGACGATGCTAGTACCAGTACATACTTATTTCCTTTCTGTTCTTTTGTGGAACCTGGGATTGAACTAGGCCCTCGCGCTTGCCGGGCAAGCGCTTGTTCTACTGAGCCATCTCCCTGGCCCCCTCCTTTCTTAACTCACTTAAAAAGCAGTTGCATAAAACCATAATTCTATTGTTGAGTCTGTAGCATACAGAAATGTAACATATGTGGCAATCACTGTGCAGAGAAGCTAGCTGGACCAAAGTCACATTGGAATAGCAGAGTGACACCAGATGGCAGCTTGGGTCCTCCGGAATCAGTGAAGAAAACCCGAGTGGTAGATAAGAGAGTTAACCTTGTAAACTCAACCAATAGATACTTGCTGTTTTTTCAGCTTAACAGACAAAATTATGTAAAATAATAATAGTGTGTTATGTAACAGTGTGTTGTTCGAGTTTTTAATATGAGT